ACAAGCTTTATTGCATTATGTTTCTTGGAAATTCATGTTGCATGTATAGCAAACAGAACATCATAGAAGTATAACATCTCATCTTTTCTATAATCATGTTACATATAGATGAGCTACCTACAATGTTAATAAAACTTTCTCATTGTGGTGAACAAAACCAGATGATAATTTTTTGGTCCAGCTTATATATACCCCACATATCCCACTAGTTCATCTCAAAGCAAATTCCACTCCTACCATTTGTTCTAAGAGAGCACTCCACCTCATTGTGTTGATTTCAAAGGGCAATCCACTCGAACTATTCGTCAACCCTTCGAGATCCAATCCCCTTTCTGCCTTCCACTCCAAACCTTCTCCAAATCCATAGCCAAATCTTGAGAGTTTAAGTATTGAGAAGATTATCATTTGAAGCACAAGAGGAAGGGATTCATTGTCAAGCAGCCTCGTCTTGCTACTTTTGGAGGGTTTGCGCCTCCTACATCGGCTAGGTGTGCTTGGAAGTCTTCAAGTTTCTGAAGAATCCAAGAAGTTTTTATGGGCTCGAAGGTCGCCTACTTTGTGAAACCTACCCTAGTGAGGTTGGTCCTTCATGGACGTCAGCCATGGCGGAATAGGTTGGTTGCTCCTAAGTGGACCCTTTGTGGGTGAGTGTCCTTTGTGGAATATCACAAACCGGAATCCTTTGTGATTCTAGATCCTTCATCGATTAAAGCCTCATCAACGTGGATGAAAGATTGCCCCAACTATCCGAACCATGGGAAAAATCATCGCCAAGCCTATTTGTGTTTGTGATCTTCTCAACTCTACTCCTTTATCTTTTCACTTGCATGTTTTACATTCCGCTCCTTATTACTGTAGATATAAATGTGCCAGGTGCTCTATTGATTCCTCAAAAACCTTAAAGTCCGCGAAGAAATTAAAATTTGGGAAAAGAGTCCATTCTTGAGCTTAGTAGTCCATTCACCCCTCCCCTATAGACATACTTATCGATCCTACATATATTTTCTAAGATTTCCCATTGATGAGTTCATGTTTGTGCAAATACTTTTATTGTGTTAGCTTGTACTAGATGGTGACATGGTGGTACCGGAGCCAAGCAATACTTCTAGGCTTTTAGCACTAACTGTCAACTTCCTTTTCTAGTTTCAGCTAATAGTAGATCATGCTATTGCTTCAACATTATTTTGTTTCTTAATGAGAAGTTTCGGCATTTTTGACTAGCTACAATCTCTTTTTGGAGACAGTCTTATCTGGGTCTCCCTAAATAGGCTTTTGGTTATGTGTTGTTACACAACAATTAGTTCCTTGGTCAAATTATTCTGCTAGGCTTTAACACTACATCAGTTTGATCAACACATGCTTTTGGTTATATGATGTTACCCTGGAATTATTCTGCCAGGCTTTAACACTAACTGACAGGAGTACTTTCTTGTAATAAAGCCCCTACAGTTAATCAGTTCCCTGATCAAATTATGATGTCGTTATGTTTACTTCTAGGTAATCCATAATCTGTACGCTACATTTGCTGATCGAACTCATGTAGTGGAAATGGTTGTAGCATTGTCTCAGAGTTTTGAATCATTATGCAAGACAGAGGTTTGTTATACATTTTTGTATCAGTAGCATCTTTGTTTATTTTTTTAGCTTTCAGAGAATACATAAATTTAACTACTATTGTTTGTCATCTCTTTATGTGTGATTGTAGCATCTTTGATTTTCTATTTAACTTCCTAGAAATGTATAAATTCACAGCTCCTCTATCTGAAAGTAATCTTCTAGTGCAGTGTCATTGAAGCGCATTTTAGTTTTTTATGCGCACTAACAAATTAGTTACTCTCACAACTAGATTAAATTATGCCGATGTACCATGCTTGCACTTCCTGGTCCACATTCGGCACCTTATGAGCAAAATTACAACTCATAAGGTGCCGAATCTAGATCAGGAAGTGCAAGCATACACACACCAGCATAATTTAATCAAGCTGCGAGAGTAACTAATGTGTTATTCCACATAAAAGACCCCGAAGGGCACTTTAGTGGCACTACACTAGAAGATTGCTATCGGATAGAAGAGTTGTAAAATGTATGCATTCATGAAGCTAAAATAGAAAAGCAAAGATACTACAGACACGAAAGGGATAACAAACAACATTAGTTAAATTTATGTCTTCCCTAAAAGCTGAACAGAAAGCAAAGATGCTACAACTACAGATACAAAAAAGGGATGACAAAGCTATGTCTTATATAATGATTCAAAACTCTGAGACAACGCTACAACCATTTTCACTACATCAACTTTATTAACAAATGTAGTGTCTAGATTACGGATTACCCACAAGTAAACATAACAACATCACAATTTGACGAGGGAACTAATTGTAGGGGCCTTGTTCCAAGATAGTACAACTGGCAGTTAGTGCAAAAGCCTAATAGAATAATTGCATTGTAACATCATGTAACCAAAATCATTTGTTGATCGAACTAATATAGGGAACTAATTTGACCAGGGAACTAATTGCAATGTAATATATCATATAACCAAAGCACATTTAAGGAAACCCAGACAAGACTATCGCTAAAAACAAATTGTAGTTTGCCCAAAATGTTGAAACTTCCCATTAAGAAACAAGATAATGTTGAAGCAACACCATGATCTACTGTTAGTTGAAACTAGAGAAGCAGGCTGACAATTAGTGCTAAAGCCTAGAAGTATTGCCTGGCCCTAGTACCACCAAGTCACCATCTAGCATAAGCTAATGCAAACATGAGTATTTGCAGACACAAGAAGTCATCCATGAAAATTCTGATAAAATACCCCATGCGGATCACCATTGCATAATATATAAAAGTGTGAACTGATGCGTGATCATAGTGTTCACATTTAAAGTTCAAAATAACTACAGAGATCATCTTATTCATAAAAAAATACTAGCATGTTGAATAGCTAGCCTAAACAAAAATGGCAATCTCACCCTTACCTCCTTCCTGTAAAGTGTAATCTCGCGCAAACATTATTCATAGAGGTGTGTACAGAAGGAGAGAAGGGAGGTGTACCTGCGCATGGAGGAAGATTGCTTGGTGGCTAATCTCACGCACGATGGTGATGCAGGCTCCCTACGAAGACGCCCAACACCAGAGGTGTGAAGAGAAGGGCGAACCGGGTTGCAGAGGAGGATGGGGCTGACCTGGTGCATCTCGGAGCAGAGGAGGACGGGCCATGGCAGGTGCAGAGGAGGACATGCACCATGACGAGCGATCCCAAGGTGAGATCGAGGCGAGGAACCCATGGCTAGCAAGATCCAAGAGGAAGACGCCATGGAGTAGCCCCACATGACGCTCCCGTTGAGCTCGTGCTGCCGGCGACGAATCGACGACTCGATGTGTTGATGCCCCCGTACAGATCAAGGGCATGCACGGTGATGGCTGGGCGGTGGGACGCTAGGGGAGGAGGCTAGATGGGAGGTCGAGACGGCTGGATCCTGGAGGTGGAGGGGCGGCGAAGGCGACATCTCGCCTCGATCTGGATCAGATCAAGGGAAAAGAGAGAGTCGAGTGTGAGATTTTTTGGGGATGGATCCGAGAGAGCTTGGTGGGTGGCGTTTGGTGTGAGAGTAAGACACAGGTGGGTGGAGTTTTATTTGGTGGGGTGCGGTTTGGGTGGGGTCCATTCCCTGTACGCCTGCACAAACTAATGTGACAATTTTTCTTTTTCTCTCCCTATTTCTCTCACATGCACAGATCATGCGACATCCAATGTGTAGTATAATATGTATATGTGATTTCTTTTCATCATTTTGGTTTGCATTGGTAAAAATAATCCTATTTTCGATTGGCTACCATCGGACTATTACACTATTTTCTAACACAAGGTCTTATTAAACTTCTCAATGCAATCCCAACCTATGTTTCTTCTCTATCCTGATATAAAGTGCATTTAATATTCATATATGCAGAGTATTTGCTAGAGAAAATGCTTGCTATACTCTTGCCTTCCCTTGCATAAAAGGAAATGACATGTTATCAATTGAGGTGACTATAAAGCAGTTGGTGAATGGGGTTCAAACCAGGTAGAAATTTAGAAGAATTGATGGAGATGAAAACAAGCGAACACAAACTAAACTGGCAACTCAAAATCCCCACCAAATTCATGCAAGGCTAGCTACTTGGCTCCTCGGGCCCTCCCCACTTGAGCAATTCTCAGCATTCAATCTTCTTTTGGATTCATCTGGCCCATGTCGCTGATGAACTTTTAATTACCTTTGCATATATAATTCCTAACTGCCATTGAAGACCACCAATTGTAGGCCCACGATTTAGTGAGATGTATGTCCCTCAGTCGTCGGATAAAATTCTATTATCTTGTCGCAAGCATATCTATCCATTAAAAATATGTATAAAAGCACTTCTCAAAACACAATAGACTATTGGAAGCAGAGACGAGTGATAAAGTTACAAACTAATCAATGAAAGGTTTAAGTTTGAAATTGTCCACTAACAAAAAAACTGCAACTTCACCTTCTTCTTCCTCTCATTCCCCCTATTCCATCTATATAACCAATTTTTTTTTAAAAAAAACGCTCACACGGGCTCTCTCAGGCGCGGTGGCACCCGCCGCGTCTTTCCCCGCTAATATAGGAAAGGAAGGCACCACCGTCGGACCTGCCCGCCCGCTCTCCCATACACACACAGATGCTCGTTGGTGCAATCGTAGCTTGTTTGTCTCGATCTAGATTCATCAAACTCGTTTAACTTATGCTTCAAGCCCACACAAATTTGGATTTTTGTTTTGTTTTTGCCACTCGAACTTATATATAATTAAAAGTGATATGTCAAATTTGAAGTGGCATAAGGGAAATGAGCAAAACCTAGAGGGGTGACAACAAAATCTCTCCCCCAAAAGTTCTATTCGTCCGTTTCACGCTCCCACGGCCTCACTCTCACCTCCAAACCCAAATCCCCAAACCCTAACCACAGCACCTACCTCCTCCGCCGCCGCCGCCATGGCAGGAGCAGGAGTCGGCGGCCGCAAGGCTCGCAACTTCGCGACCTTTCGCCTATTCCCCCGCGACGGTGCCGCCGACCCCAACGACCGCGTCTTCGTCCGCGTCGACAACAACGCCTACACCATCCCCGGCTTCGGCGACGACGAAGACCCTTCCCTCTCCCCCGCCGCCGCCACCGACCAATTCCCTTCCTCCACCTCTGGCCCCCTCCCCGACCACGTCCGCCAGCAGATCCTTGAGCTCGGCCTCCCCGACGATGGCTACAACTACCTTCTCCATCTCCGTGAGCTGCGGCCCTCCGCTGTGGCCTCCTCCTTCGTACCCAGCCATACCGCCCGCCCGGAGCAACTCCCCCTGGACGTGAAGGTTGGTTATTTCTCAAAAGCCCGTCCAAGTCTGCCGTTTGAGTGTCTAATGTTGGTTTTGTGTGCAGGCCTATGATGCAAGCAAGGTGCGGGTTGCTTCTGGCAAGGCCGAGGAAGAGTTGGACGAGGGGAGGACCATGTGTAAGGTGGCCGCAAAGACGGCACCGGTGAGGCGAGTTGAGAAGGCCGTCGACCCTGACGTTGCAAGGTTGCTCGATGAGAGCGAGGATGAGGGTTTGGAGGAGGATTTCGTCATCATGGCAAACCAAGCCGAAGGGGATGACATGGAGGATGAAAGTGAGGAAGAGGGTGGTGGTGTGTTCAGTGATGTGGAAAATGATGAGGAGTTCAACAATGAAGAGGATGAGCCCAAGCCGAGGGTGCCACGATTGCTGGATGAACAATTTGATTTGGTGAGCTTCTTTCATTTGATAACCCTCTCAGTTTGCTTTGCAAGACGTTCTGAAAAAAACTGTTATCTTGTTAGTTAAAGTTTATGATTGATTGATTGCTAGCTTGTTTCTGAAAAGAAGATCACTAAGTTTTGGTAAATTTAACTGATACTATAACTTGCTAACACACAATGACGAGTCTGCAGCTTTAGTATGTTACTGTCAGCGTTGAATACTACTTCCCATTTGTTGCAACCGTACCTCTACTGTTATGGATAATTAAGTACAATATGATATGGAAATATCCGTTTTATATATTTTACGACAATCTTTGCTTCCTAGTTTGTCATTTGTATTTAACCATTCAGTAGATTCAACGCGTTCTCTATGTAGAAGATTTAGCAGGATTGTGTTAGGCACTTTCCTGTTGTAGAGTAGGACTATGTCGAAAGTTAAATTGACCTTGTAACTATTCAAGTGAACATATAGGATGGAGTATCTTGTATTGCTTGTATCATTAACAGCCTTCCTGTTTCTGAAATTTAGGCTGGAAATCTTATTCTATGCTTTGAACCTTCACATTTATTTTATTTTATAAAAAGCTATACTTCAGATCTTGACTTCTCGTGGACCAATTTGCAGCTTGCTCTGGAAGAATATGGAGCTAGTGATGATGATGATGGAGCTGTTAGAGATGGGGAACATGAACTCCCAACAGAGGTTATAGATGAATTGAAGTTGTTCCACAATCAAAATGTATGTGTTGATGAAGAATATAGAACACCAGCAGATTTTGTTCGTGGAAAACTTGACTCAACCACCGCTGAGGAGGTGGATGAATCTGCTAATGTGATCCAAAAGTGTGCTGAATATGCTGAAAGGTATTTAAATGAAACTGCAGAAGATGAAGAGGTCTTGCTTGTTTCAGAAAGCAGTGATGAATCTGAAGTTTGGGACTGTGAGACCATTGTTTCCACGTACTCTAACTTGGACAATCACCCTGGCAAAATTCAAACTCCAGGAAATCCTAGAAACCGTCTTCCCAAAGTTTTCCCTGGGGAAACAGCAACAACGAAAGATATCATCAAGCTTCATGGTAAAGAGAAACTTCCTGTAGATTACCTGCCACAGAGGAAAAGAAAAGTTGAAAAGGAGAAGAAAGCAAAGCCCACAGAAGCTTCAGATGCTGAATATTATTTTGAAAAGGTAGTAGTCCAGAAGGAAACAAAAGATGAAAAGAAAGCTAGAAAGGTACACATATATTTAGTTTTATGTTCCTTGAGATGATATGATCATGTGTTCATTTGATAGCTAACATTTGAGATGGAAAAATGGGAGAACATGTTAGTATTGTTGACTTGATGCGTCACCATTCTTAAAAATTGACCAGCTACACGTGATAAACTGGTGTCGGCTTTAGGGGAAATTTACTTCGTTAGTATCTGAAATTGAACCTGGACCGTTAATTCTCTTACAACGTATTTGTTCTGTTCATATAGCTTTACCAAATCATGGTAATTCCAAATACTCATCCGATGTAATCTGTCATCACAAAACCTATACACAAATGGACTAATTGTTTGTTAAGCACTACCAAATTCCAATCCTGAAAATGCGTGGATCATAGGAGTGCACTGTGCAGTTATGTTTCTTGGTTATAATTTTGAACTGCATATTGATCCATAATATGGGTATAAGTTGGCGGTGCTTTCATGCATGGTTGTTAATGGATCTGTAAAACCATATGTATACATAAATCATTTATCTTCTGCACCTGATTGAGATAACATTTGCTTATTAATTTTGACAACCTTATCCAATGTGCCTTATTTTTCTAGTCCGCGGTAAAAGAAGAGAAGAGAGAAGCCCGGAAAGCAAAGAAAGAGCTCAAAGAACTGTATAAATTTGAAACACAGAAGGCTCAGAAAGTTGCTGCTGTTACAGGGCCATCTTCCATACGGCTAATGTAAGTGGCCATACTGATTCTCATGTTACATAGATCGAAAAAAGGAGTATTCTTTTGTCGACATGTCTGTAGATATGGAATTAACTATCATTCCTGTCCACTTAAATATAGATGTAAATAGATATCTCTATCCATATGACTCGAGTGACATATCTGTTGATACCTTCATATTAACCGGGATATCCATGTTTTGAAAAAAGTGAGTACTCTTTGATTGACATGTTTTGAAAAAAATCGGATAAGATGGACAACTATTCAAGATATAGATGTTTGATAAAATAGTAACCTGGATATCCATCTTCCTAACATTTAATCTCCAACCAGTAAATAAAATTCTTCGGAAACAAATGAGTTGAAACTCTGTGGAGCTTGCATAATCTTTTAGCATGTTATTTTTAATTCTGAAGGTCTTAAGAAAGATAAAATGGACAATATCCTGATATTATTACTATTATTTCCTTCTGGTTATTTATTCTTCAGAAACTATCTGAACATAATTTGTCTGTATTAACTTGAAGCTTTGCATGGAAGTATTTGAACCAAGAAACATTTGTTGCTTGACCCAAAATGATTAGTATGATTCAGTTACGCCATGGTTTGCACTTGATTTTCCCACCACTAAATTGATCAAATATTCTGTGCATGCTAAAATGTCTTTTCACCGTTGCAGATAATTGTCCTGTGTCATATGTAACATGTTTCCTACATCTGCTGAACGGTTGAAGCCTTGAAGACAGTGGTCCAGAGCAAGATAGGCATGTCATATGTAACTGCTGGTACCTGAGACATTTCATGCCTTGTTTAAGGTTGTCCCATTCTCTGGACTGGAGGCAGTGAATGATTTTGCTTGGCGTTACCTTTTTACTGCCGAATGTATGAGTTTTGTGTTACCTTAATGAGCACACCAAGTGAATCAAATGGGTGAATAGTTTTGTGAGCTTACACAGAAATTTGCAGGATCTAGATACCTCTGGAAATCCTCTCTTCAAAACAGAGGTTACAAAGATTTATCAATTCCAGGGGTTCGAGCAAAAGCAAAATGCTCTTTCCGGTTGCTGGTAGTGCTATTTCTTTCTAGGTTTTGCAGTAATATCAGTATGTGAGATTGTTTATGAAAGCGGTAGTATGACAATCGAGTGGACGTGGTCCTGTTATCTTTGTTGTTTGGGATCTGTGACTGCAGTTTGTTGGGTAAAATACCGGGCTGCAGCAATATTAGCATACATTCATAACGTATTTGTCAGATTGCCATGTGGCCTTGTGACATTTCGGCCCTGTTCGGAACTTGGCCTCTCCACGGAGTTGGGGAACTGGCTTTTAGCAGCTTCATCAAATTAAGCTAATGTCTTGTCCACTCCCGGAGTGGAGTTAAAGGAGTAGAGAGAAACCGAACGCAGCCTTCAAATCGTTAGAGCATCTCTACCCTCTACCAGATTCCTCAAAAGTAAAAGTTATATCCGAGGCAATATTTTGTTTGGTTTTAAGGGATTAGACCCTATCCACCTGATCCTCTATGTCTTTAGTTTCTTAAAATTATAACTTTGTATTTATATTGTTGTCCTTAGGTTGGGCGTTCAGGTTTACCAGAAAACTTGTTTTTTTTTTAATTTTTGAACAGAGTAGGGTCTCGAAGGACCCAGACTTTCATTAGATACTTCAATGGAAAGCGTTGGCTGCCTACAGTGGAAAGCTAGATGTATACTTATTCACGGATGGTCAAAGTTTGCAACATGACTTTCCACCTCCAGTGGAAAGCGGTTAGCCGCCTACCTTCGTAAAGCATGACCCCTTTGAATATTAGGGTTCAATGGTGTTGAAATCTTTAAAGCAAGATTAATCTTGGACACATTTCATTTTTTTTTGAAATTCACAATTTAGAACTATTATGCAACTTCTCCGAAACTATAACCAAACTTGCTATTAAAATAATTTATCGTGTTTGACATGTTTTATGTTAATGTGACGCATGGTTAGTATAAAAGAGGTTTCTTGAAAGTTTCATTTTATCTATTCGTTGGCATCAGATATATTTAGAATGTGTTCCATCATGTTTCATAGAGTTTCACGCATGTATAAAGATCTACCCAAATGATAAGTATTACACATGTGGCACGAAGCAACATGGTTTAAACGCTCTCATTACCATGGCGGCTGCTACAAAACAACCGACTGATCTCCATAGGAAATCAGTCGGGTCTGTAGCCGTTCGATCAGCCCGTGTAGTCGTTCGATCACACATAGAAAGCCCCCGCCGTATCCTTGTCCCTCCGTCGCAGCGGCCCATGTATTGCAGCAACACCGGCTTGATGTTTCTACGCAACACCGACAGTGGGGCGTGCTGCGTCGCAGCACCGTGGCGCCTCGCCCATCTGACCAGCATCTCCGACAAGTGCTACATCCCAAAATCAGCTGCAGCACTGTCGACCACCGACGGGCCGCATAGCAGGAGCATCACAAGTGTTGCATAGCAGGGCCGGCAAGGATGCGTTGTAGCACCGGCCGCCGCCGACAAATCCCCGTGTTAGAGCGTCGATAGCACCGTCGAACGCTGCATCGCAGCAATGACAACCGCCAACGAGCCGCCATATCAGCCCAGCATCGTGAGGTGCTGCATAGCAGCGCCCGTGAGGCTGCGTTGCAGCAACGGCAACTGACGATGACTGCCATGTCACAGCGCCGACGGGAGCTTCGAACATTGCTGCATACAGGAGTGCTGCATAGCAGCCGCCGGCGACATCGACGAGTGCCGCACCGCAACACCAGCGTCGAGGAGCTTTGCATCGCAATATTGGTGACACTGTCGGGCATCGAGTTATAGCACCGGAGCTCCGAATCAAATGACGAGGGCAGCGTTGCAGCCATCATCAGTCGTCGATGACCGCTGCAACGCAACGCCGACAACACCGGTGTGTGCTCTCGCGCAAAAGCGGAGTGGTGCTTGGGCAACCATGGTAGACGCGTCGCAGCGCACCGGCGTGTGGTGTCGCGAAGCAGTGGGGTGGGGGGTGGGAGCTTGGCACCATAGCGGATGCTGCAGGCCATGGTGCAAGATGTGTGGGGAGCGAGAAAAGGGACCGAACTTGGTCTAAAACTCGAGCGGTTCTCATTAGCTCTGGAAGATGAGGAGATAAAGGCTGACATGTGGGCGGGACCCACAGGACGCATGGCGTTCGCATCGCCCGATTGATGCGAGTGGAAAATCATCCGGTTGAAGTTGATCGATTTTCCATTATCATCTATTCTGTCACATCAAACAGAAGACATCAGCGAAAATTTTCTATTCTTTCAGACTTAAAAATATTTTTATCTCTTAAATAAAAAATTCAATTAAAAATCCGTTTCATCATTAAATCCGTCTCGACGAGATCTTCAAAACTAGATCCCATATTGATATGTTTCAATGACTTTTTCGGGGCCAAAAACTTGCCATGAAGTTATACTGAAGTTGCCATAGTGTTTACATTAAAGTTGCCATGATATATTTCATCTATTTTTTTCTTCTAGATTTAAAGCTACCATTGTATTTCAACTACTTTTCATGGCAAATTTTATTAATTGACCATGAATTTTTTTAGTAATTAACAATGTCAAATTTAATTCAAGGATCATGGCAATTTTTAGTAATTCATCATGGCAATTTTAGTTTATAGATCATGGCAATTTTAGTATTTTGACCATGGCAATTCTACTATTTTGATCATGGAAATTATTTTTTATATGAACCATGGAAAATTTTAGTGCATGTATCATGGAAAATTTAATTAATTCACCATGGAAATTTTAGTTTCTGGTTTATGGCAAATTTGAGTCATTGACTATGCATTTTTAAAGTAATTGATAACGGATTACTTTTTAATTATGAACCATGTCGAAATTATTTCATGGATCATGATTTTTTTAATAATTCTCCGTGGAAAGTTTAGTTTTTAATTCCCTTTATTATAACATGAAAAAATTAATTTAGACGTAGAAGAAAAGTAGTTGAAACATATCATGACAACTTTAGTGTAAAAACCATGACAATTTATGTGCAATAGACATGGCAACTTTTGACCGCCAAAAAATATCGTCGGAATATATCAATATGGGATCTAGTTTTGAAGTCTTCGTTGTGACGGATTTAATGATGAATATGGATTTTAAATCGGATTTTTCATTTAAGAGGTAAAACATTTTAAAGTTTTAAAAACTCAAAAGATTCCCGCTGACATTATTTCTTTTTGTCCCTTTTTGCTTGCATGTGTGAAAAAGAGAAAAAGGCTGACGTGTTACAATGGTTGGCTAAAAAGACGTGTGGACGAAATTGCTTTGTGCCACACGTGTGACACTTATCAGGGTCCAACTTCTATCATGTTTTGGCTGTTTCTCTTTGAAATTCATTTAATACTAGCTGAAAACGCAATGACACGCACATGAACACCGGAGTGAAAACTAGTAAAACATATTTTGGAAAATCATAAAACATAATTAAACTAAATCATATGTAAGTTTAATTAAAAAATTATAGCTCAATGAAAATCCAAATGAAATGGGTGATTTTTTTAAATGAAGTTACAACCACAATGGCGAAAAAGTAATGAAGTCACAATCACAACTACCTAAATATTTTTGAAACCGAGATTAATGTGTCTAAGGTAATAACACCGAGATTTAAATGAGAAAACATATATTTTGAGACTAATTGAAAGTTGAATAAGACTAGAATCAAATAACATGAGTAGCATTATGCAAAATCTAGACAAGAATGAAGTTGATATCCTGAATGGAGTTACATGGGTGGGTCTAGAGCTAGGAAGGAGGTGAATGAAGTGCAAGGGAATTTAATGCATCGGGTAGTATATACTACAACGTGTCAATCCTTGGTTGGCTAAGACAACTCCGGTAGAAACCAGCTCCGCTAGAAAAGCATTTTGCACAACCATGATTTCAGTGCTCTTAGGGGACATATCTTTGCCCAGTCCCAACCCAATGTCCATCATATTCCCCATGTGTTCGCTATAAACCATTCCACCCGTCGCAACAAATCCAAAAGGATACATAAAAGGTACCACACAAACTAAGTCTTGTGGCTCGACCGACTCTGCATCGTGGATTCCGTCCAAACAAAACTAGTGGTTGGTGACCTTGATGCATGGGCATACACTGAAGTCAGGTGTGCATGAACGCTACTACGGAGTCACTATCTAATGCACCATAGCTAGATCCAAAAGTTAATAACTGATAACAACTAACAAAAAATAGAAGTGAAAATTTGGGAAAAAGTGACACTACAACAAATAAAAAGCTAATGTAAAAGCCCATGAAAATGAGCGAAAATGAAAACAATAAAGCTTAAAAGGGCCGGCCAACTGGTGCATAATTTTTTTGGGAAACATTCAAAATCTACTGAATTATCGCGCGCACAATGTGGGCTGGGTGTGCGGGCGCGATGTGCCCCATCGAAGGCATGTGATGTACGTTGTGCCGTATGAAACACATAAACAAATGGAAAAGTAACAAAGACTTCATGAAAAACCCTAAAATGTTAACATATCAATGGAGAACAAAAAAGGACCGTGGGTCAACCAATTTTTGTTGCTGCCGTAACTCGATTGAGCGTGGAGTTTCTTCTTCCTTATCGCGTCAAGCTGCCCACCAGCCTAGCCTAACCGATGGCCCATGCACCAGCGGCATACAACGTTACCACGTGTGCCTCACCGCCTCTTTGATGTGTTGTCGCGCCCCGACCATC